AGTGCACCTAGATTTGGAACTGGACATGGGGGTGAGGGTGATCTTCATGAGGTCATCAGAAAGTCTCTCCAGAAAACTCAGTGAAATGGACGAGCACATTGTCATGCTAATGACAATGCTCATGTAAGCAAACTATTTTTGTGTGAGACTCAACTGCTCGTCTGCTATGACAGTTGAGAAAGTATGCTGACAGCACAAGGCGGCTTGGTTAGCCTCATTGTAGTGCCTTTTGTTGTGACACTCAGAATGCAGCTTGCGCTTGTGTTGCATTATAAATTGCATTGTGACACATTTCTGAACGCAACAATGCACAGAACCCTGTCTGCGTAGTTCAAAACGTCTGCGTTCATGACCTTGCATGAAGTATGTTTCTGGACCTTTGTTAAAATATGTCATGTTAGAATGTCTCTGAAGCTTCTTCAAAAACAGGATTGTGAACAAGTAAAGGTAATGTTATTGAATCTTGTGTGCCGCTCATGACTTTAATAGTTCTTTTACTGTGTTGTTGTTTCTCTAGATGAACTCTGCTCTCATGGACACAAATGTTCGGGCTGAGTCTTGGAAAGATTCTGTTCCACCTGGAATCATGGATGTTGCCAAAAACCTGCTCCTATTAACTACGAAGTAGTTGCAGGATTTTTTGCAGATCTGTAGTGTGCGGCTGGTCTCAAGGCTCTCCTGTCGACATACACGATGAGCTGGAAGCTTTGGTGCCCTCTCTAACAAGGAAGGTGGTGGGAGATATTTTCAGTCTGTGCTGAGCATCAGCTCTGAGGGAACATCAAAAGATGCTGTGGACTGTGGTTCAGATACACCCCTGAGCAACTTCCTCCAGGCTGTGGCTGACAAAATCAAGTCAGAGATTTCCCCTGAATCAGCCATGCCAAAGCAGTGGAACAGTCTATCTGATTCCAACATGGTCGATGAGCCACCTTCCCCTCGGGAGCTGCCTGATTTTGGCAGAAAAGAAAAATGTCTGCTGGTCAACTGTTCTGATGTGACCGGGAAGCTCCGGAACTCTTATTGCCCTCAATGCGAAAGGGTTTTGGAGAGCATTATCTTTAACAACGTGAATCAGAACAGTGACACAAACTCTGCTGAGAGAGACACACTAAGGCTCTTCAGGCTCTCTGTTAAAGCTTTTCTGGTTGAGGCGGAGGATTGCCAGGATTTCAGAACCCAGCAAAAGCCGCAAGACATGTTTTGAAAATGCAGAACCTCCTGTGTTCGGCTCCAAGCTGGAAAGCAGCACGTTAGCTGCAGCCTCAGGAGTTGTGAGTGCTCTGATGTATGACCTGAAGAGCACCTTTGAGGAAGACTTTCTTTTGGCGGTTCCTTCACTTGATCCAACACTGTACACCACACAAGTCCAGATGGTGTCTGAAAAAGTCCTGAAATCTATCCAGGCTAAAATGAAGGAGGTTCTCATTACAGATATCTTCAGGAGAGTGAATGGAGCCATGAACACCCAAGATGCCCAGCTAAGATACAACCTCCTGTCAGCCTCTAGGAAGACACTTAAGACCATTATTGAGAGCATCATGGCAGTTTTACAACGGCTTGAAGTGATGGACTCTACAGACCTATATAAATGATTTCTGCAGAGTTTGCAGGAATGTCTCATCCTATCCTCACAGCATCTGTCAACGGCCAGTGATGTGTCCAGTGAGGATAGCTTCAGTGACGATCTGTACTTCTGTTACTTGCAGTCTAAGAGGCGTACAGTCTTTACAGTCAGGTTTCCCAAGATTAGACTTCCAAAGCTGAGATTTAAGGTACTAACATTTTTTCAGTCTGTTTAAATTTACATGATTTAATTCCATGACGAATCTTCAAATGGTGCAATGTTCTGTTTTGTCATCTTTGTTTTTTCTGTGTAAAGTTATTTCATATCACTGCACCTCATTGACTGCAACAATTCAGTGCAGATTTTATTGGATTATTGAATTTCAACTTTCTCTTTTTTTTAGAAACAGAAAAACAGGACAGAACCCACGACTGTTCTCACACAAGACCTGACCCAGAATCAGTCTGTTCCAACTGGTAATTATTTTAGTACTCATCTCTCTAGCTTCAGTTCAAAACAGTATTATATACTTTAAGCATTTTACACATTGTTTGAAACAGCTAGAGAAAAGAGGAGGATCTGAAATGACTGTTAGTGAGGACACATTAGAGGATACCAAACAAAATGTGTTCTGAAGCATCAATATTACAAATGCAGCAAATCACACAGCTATGTATTGATGTATTGTTTGCCTTTTGCCCACCATCCTAATAATGAGACAGATAATTTATTATTAGCAGTAGTTGATTCTTGAGTTTTTTCCATGTAAAACCATTTTCAGATCTTCAGTTTTTCTGCATATTCTTTCTCTTGTGTAGTGTTTAAACTACATCTTCTCTCTCCTCCTCTAGAAGAGCCATCCAACTCTCAGGCTCCCAGTACATCTGTGGTCGTCCCTGTCCTGAAGAGAAAGACCTTCTTCTCCAGAGTTTCTGCAGCTTTCTCCAGAGTCTTTCATGAAGGAGGCAAAACATCATCTTAATCATAACAGCTGGCGATGTAGGGGACTTCCACTAATTTTCTCAAAATTTCTGTATAACTCAGTGTTGAAGATGTAAGCAGTGTCATTCTGAGTGGTTTGATGTGAAATGGTTGATTATGTTTGATTATACGGAAACTTAGAGAGTCAGAATTGTTCATAGTGGTGGTGATAGGAACCAGACGTCTGAAGAGTTCACTGTCTCTAAAAGCTCCCTTTCAGAAAGTTATTACATTCAGTGGTTATGAATATGATATGACTGAAGCCTCAGACATTGTTTAATGATAGTTTTGAGAAGCTTTTTAAAATGCAGGGTGAAACAGTCCCCACAGAAAACAATTTTTTCAGATCTCTACTATTTTAACATCCACATTACATGTAAAAACTCAGAACATGTGTAGGTCTGCTTTTTAATTTGGACAATAAATAAAACAGATTTATCTGCATTGTAGACATTGTGAACCCTGCTTACTGTCACCACCGCTGTAAAGAAGTCTGAGTCAGGAATTTTCTCTACAGTTAACTGTTTCACTTTAAATCTCTCTGAATGACTCTGTTTACATCTCAATGGTTGAATAATATTGAAAAATTGGTCTAATTCCAGCAGGACATCTAATTACTGAAATAAAAAAGCAGAAAAAGCAGTTTTATAGTGTGTAGTCACAGAATCAATGACTGTATAAAATGATGCTGAGTCTGACGGTAAGCATGCAGAATTTTGGCCATGATGGTATTTATTTTGATGCAGGTTAAAAAGTCTCTAACTCTTGGAGAATCGTGTTAGGTGTGCAAACATCAGCATATTCAACATTGAATAAATGAGAAATATTTGATCATTCAATATATATCAGTGTATAAGCGCTAAATGATACATTACCATAGTTATATAGGCACCAAATGGTAGATTATCAGGTCTGCAGAGAAACCAGAGATACTAAATTCTCCGGATAAACATACTGTAATTAGCTGAGACTCAAAATGGTTGTTTTATGGTATTTGAGCAGTGCAGAACAGAATATTAATGCTAACACAAAACTGGCCTAAGTTTGGATAAAAGGGGAAAAGAGAGCAACACAGCGAGACTGAATCACATAAAGCATCAGTGTGGGTGAGTTTTACAACCTCGACGCTTCAGAAAGAGAGCCGTGGTGTCGCGTGTGCCGCCCTGAGGAGGAGCAGCAGCCTGAGGGGCTGGAAGGGTCTGTGGGTCAAAGGCGAGGTCACTCACTGGGGTCTTCACTGAACTCAGTTTTACTGCGCCGCGTCAGAAGCAAACCTTTTGCTGTTAATGGATTAATCTTTGACTCTAACGCTGCTCACATGAACCACCGAGTGAACTGATGAAGTAAGAACTCGTTTCTGTTTGGACTAATGACGTATTTCCTTAACTAGAACTAGGCTGGTCAGCTAGCGAACAGGCTAAAAGATAACTTACCTAGCTAACGCTAACATACTAAACATATCCTTCATTAGTATCACAGATTTGAATGAAAGTGCTTATTTGATGATTTACTGTAAAATTGCAATGTAAATGTCTAAATAATGTCACTTAAATAGCTATCATGCTTCAAATGTCTGTGCTTCAGTCAGGGGTAGTAAGAAATCCAGGCTGAATCTCAAACAGCTCCGTACTCCCTAAATAGTGTGCTAAGTAAGTTTTGAAGTTTAAGCCTTTGCAGCCAAATAGTGCACTTTTGTTGAGTATGGATGTGGCTGAATCCCAAACGGCTATTTGTTTGCTATATTATGTACTGTTGTGGTGCTGGACGTATTTAACTTACCACATAGTGCACTATGTAGGGAGCGGGGAGCCATTTGAGATTCAGCCCAGCGTGGGAAGAGGAGCGCCGTTAGCTTGGTGCTTAAATAAGACTCACGGTGGTAATTTGGTGACCAAAAATACTCATAAATGGCGGTTTTTACATTAACCGGTGCTTTATTATGATATGTTCATTACTGTATGTCAAGAAATTACGTTATATGTCATGAAATGTCCGCAGTATGTAGTGAGGGACGACCGAATGTTCTTCTACTCGTTCAGCAGTCAGTGGTACTTAAAATCTTGTCATTTCTGATCAGTTCGATGAGAAACAAACAGCAAAGCAGCTCAAGACTAATTTGTCTAAATTATAATCTAGTTTAGTGGAAGAAATTTAATTCAGCAGAAGATGATGGAGCAGAACTCTGCAGCCACAGGTTCCATACATTCCTGTTTGAGTTTGTTTATTCATTTACTCATTATTTATTAATTGTTTTGTGTTTTTTGTTTGTTATTTGCCGTTTTTGTCAGCAGCACAATACAAGCACATTTAGATATGACTGAATTACTTAATAACAACATAGAATATAATGCAATGTATCAGCACAGAACTATCATTACTACAAATATATTCAGCTCATTTTAGCTCATTAAAATAACATTAAATATTCAAATGGTCATCCTGTACTCAGACACTCCACGAGAAAAGAGGAAGAGAGCAGAGGAGGGATACAGCCAGAGTGCCGAAGAGGGAACAAGCAAAGTTCCCAACACTGAAGCTCTGGCGAAGAAGAAGAGGAAGGGGGCACTGAACCGGCCCAAGAGAACAACTCGAGGACAGAAGAAAGCCGCCGAGCCAGGTGAGTCCACCCAGCCCCAAACTGTAAAACTGGACGCCATCACTGAGGAAATATGACTGGTTAAAAAGAGCTAATGCACAGCAGAAAGTATTGGTGGTAGAGAAGAAATGCAAAGTGAAGGACACAGACTGTAAAAACACAAAGAAAAAGATAAAAGAAAACTTCTAAACAGAGAAAATGGAGGAAACTCATTTGAAATTTAGAGAATTTCTTTTTTACAAAATATATACTTTAAGAATGTAACAAGGTATTCTACAGTAAGTCTTATCATAGATGCTTTGTTGTCCTACAACTGAACAGTTCTGATCTAATCACTCTAGTGGTGGGTCCATTGGCAGGTCCAATCGTGGGTCAAGTTGTGGGTAAATTGACCGGTCCAGAACATTAAATATTCAGTAATCATCCTGTGCTTAGAAACTTCTCAAGGAAAGAGAAAGAGAGCTGAGGAGGGATGCAGCCAGAGTGAGGGAACAAGCAACACTTAAGCTCCGGCAGGGAAGAAGAGCAAAGAGGCAGTGAACCAACCCAAGACATCAACGAAGGGACAGAACAAAGCCACTGAGCCAGGTCAGTCCATTCACCACCATACTGTAATATTAAACACTGTCACTAAGGAAATATGATTGGTTAAAAAGAGCTAACATGCAGCCAAAAGTCTTGGTAGTAGTAGTGTGCAGAACACTAAATATTCAATAATCATCCTGTACTCAGAAGCTCCTCGAGGAAAGAGAAAGAGAGCTGAGGTTCCCCACACTGAAGGTCTGACAGGGAAGAAGAGCAAGGGGGCACAGAACCAGCCCAAGAGAACGTCTCAGGGACAGAAGAACACCACCGAGTCAGGTCAGTCTGAGGAAATGTGATTGGTTAAAAAGAGCTAACGTGCAGCCAAAAGTGTTGGTGGTGGAGAAGAAGAGGAAAGTGATGGACACTGGCATCAAAAACAAAAAAAAGATAAAAGAAAACTGCTAAACAGAGAAAATGAAAGAAATTCGGAGGATCACCTTTATTAAAAAATAATCTACAATTAGAATGTAACAAAGTATTCTACAGGAAGTATATCATAGATGCTTTGTTGTCCTACAACTGAATAATTCTGATCTGGTCACTCTAGTGGTGGGTCCATTGGCAGGTCCAGTTGTGGATCAAGTTGTGGGTAAAGTGACAGGTCCAGAACATGAAATATTGAATAATCATTCTGTACTTAGAAGCTCCACAAAGAAAGAGGAAAAGAGCTGATGAGGGATACGGCCAGAGTGCTGAAGAGGGAACAAGCAAGGTTCCCAACACTGAAGCTCCGGCAGGGAAGAAGAGGAAGGGGGTAGAGAACCAGCCCGAGACATCGACAAAGAGACAGAGCAAAGCCACCGAGCCAGGTCAGTCCAATTGCCAGACAACTGTGTACTATGAATGACTAATTTTACTTCATTCTAAGAGAACTGCAATTATCTAAATGAAGTTCACACAAAGTAGATTCCACTGCATCCTTCATAATCAGTAAGTTTGATTGGTAAACCCCTGGTCAGTGATCTAAAGAGGACTGACGCTCATTTGTAATTTTGTTTTTCATAGACACCTTTGAATCCCGCTATGTGGTTGAAGACAAACTGGGTGAAGGAGGCTTTGGATCTGTCTTCAAAGGAAAATGCGTTTCTGATGGCCTACAGGTTCTGCTCACACCTCAGATTTCATTCTAATGGTCATTATTTCCCTTTCTCTCTTTTCCCCGCTAATAATCTTAATATCTTTTGTCTTTGTGTGCAGGTGGCCATGAAATTTGTCAAAACGCAAAACAGACCGATATCTCCAAAGCATAAGTGCACCTACTTAACACGTAACACATAATGGTCCCAAACCGGCCCAATGAGTTTCTCGCCATGTTCTTCACTCCTCACCATCTAACTATCTACTATCCTGCAGCCTGTGGAGTCCAAGGCCGTGCCTGTGGAAGTGGCTCTGATGCAGATAATGAGCCAGCCACCCGTCTGCAAGAACATAATACAGCTAATCGAGTGGTTTGATGAGCCTGAGAGATACATCCTCATTATGGAGCACCCTGAGCCTTGCGTGGACTTAAAACGTTTCCTGAAAAGTCATGGGAATTGCGTGGATGAAGAGACGGCACGAGCCATAATGGTCCAAGCAGTGGAGGCAGCGAGCCAGTGCAGCATGCGAGGTGTCCTGCATCAGGACATCAAAGGGGACAACTTGCTGATCAACACGGACACCTTAGAGGTCAGACTTATTGACTTTGGCTGTGGTGACCTGATCAAGACAACGGAGAATGACAGATACACAGGTAAAATTTCAACACTCCCCCTTTGTGGAGAATCTTCAGCTAAAGCCAAAGGAGTTGAGCTTCACATCTAAAAAGGATGTGAAGGTGAACCGTGTCCTGTAGCCACTTAGCTGTTAAATGAAATACTGTGCTCAGCTGTGCTCTTTCTCTGTTTTATGTTCTCAGGCACGGTTCATTACTACCCTCCTGAGTTTTCTGCGAAGGGGAAGCATCACGCTGAACCTGCAACAGTGTTGTCCCTTGGTGTCCTGTTGCTCAGGATGGTTTGTGGATACCTTCCCTCCGCTGACAAAGGGATTTGGAACTTCAAGGATGGCCTCTCTGAGGGTAAGATAAATGGGAACATCTGGGTAAACGAGGCATCCCTTTGACTTGGTAATTAAGTACAGAGGAAGGAAAATTGATCACATAATTGATAGTTAGAAGAATTTACAGTTAAGGCCAGACAACCGTAAATGGACAATATGAAAGAAGGACAAGAGCAACAGAAAAGGGACAATGACAATGCAAATAGAACAGTGACAGTGAAAAAAGGACAATGACACTGAAAACAACAGCGGATGAAGAACAATGTGTTAAAAAAGGACAACGGCAGTAGATAAAAGACAATTACAACGAAAAAAGGAGGACAACAGTGGATAAAGTGGACAATGACAGAGAAAAAGGACAAAGACAGTAAAAAAGGAGAATATCGGTGAAAATTCTTTGGTTAAATTTGAAATAAAAAAAACTTTTATTCCATACTTTTGGCCTAAAGTGAATTAAAGGCCCCATTTTTCTTGTATTTTTTTCCTTGAGGTCCACTGATGACTTTCACATTCAACATATCAAAAACAGTCTTAATTTATTTCTGTATGACCACTTTGTCCCTTAGAATTCAACAGGCTGTTGTTCTTATTGTACCTTTAAAACTGAAATATGCAAATGAGCTCTGTTCTAGTTGTCTGTCCTGTATTGTGTATTGCTTCATCCCCCTCAATATAATTTTGCCCTCCCCAATTTAATGCACATCATTAGTTAAAGCATCAACAATATTGTTCATTAATTCATTGTTATCTATCTGTTCCATCGTGTCTTCAAATTCACAGTGTGATAGGATGGCGTGAACTGGACGAGATGCTGCTGCTCTGATCCACTGCTGCCTCAGTGGTGCTTCCAGACATTTACTAACATAACTACAGGAGATGGCAATCCTCTGCTGTTTTAGCACTGAGGAAAAGTGTAATTTTGGCTCAGCCAATCATACCAGACCTCATAGGTTGTAAGCCAATCATATCAGACCTGGGGTGAGGCTCCGGTGCTACACACTTTGTGAAGCAACTGTTGAAGTTTCAGGATTTGGCTAAAATAAAGATCAGGCCTTATTCAGAATATATAACATTCAATCTGAATCAGTAAGTAGTTACAGAGTGAAGATCTACCTACAATATGGATTTGTGCAAACTGTGGTCAGTATAGCTGGCTATTGAGTTTTATCCGGTTCCTTGTTAGGTAGCTGTGGTGGTTCTTCATGGGTTCTTTAGGAAAGGAACAATGAGTTCTATATAGAACTATTTCGTGCTTAAATGGTTCTTTGCATGGTGAAGTGTTTTTAGATTGATGGAGAATGTGTTGTATATTTTTAAAAAGGGTTTTTCTACTGTTACAATGTCAAGCTTGTAACAATAGAAGAACCCATTTTGATGCTACATAGAAATATTTTCAAAAAGGTTCTACATGGTGCCATATACAACACATTCTCCATTAATCTGAAGAACGATTTCACTGTGCTAAGAACAATTTATGCACAAAATGGTTCTATAAAGAACTAATGGTTCTAAATAAAATCATTCTCTTTACTAAAGAACCCTTGAAGAACCTTCTTTTTAAGAGTGTAGGTTAAGTGGAACTAATAACTAGGTTATTAAACATGAAAGCACAACTACAGAACAAAATCACTTCTGATTAAAGCAGCTGAGACGGTACAGATTTATAATCTGTGTATTATAAACATGTTTAGGATGTGTTTATCTAAGAGAGAAGAGGCGGCACTGCTTGACTATCTTTGTTTAATCTGTCTGTCTGTGCCAACTTGACCAATTTGAACAATTGTTCACCCTCTGCTACTTTAATTTCATGATGAACTGACATCCCAATCCCCCAAACCATAAATCTGTAGTGACGCCCCTAGTTTAACGCATCTTTAACGCATCAACCCTTACGTGTTCACCCTAGTGAGCGACGAGGGAAACTCGGACTGATGTACTGAGATAATAATTACTGTACTCACAATTCTTTGAAAAATATGGAGCCTCTGAAGAGACGTGTGATGGAATTTAATTTGTAAAAATCTGGTGAGCACCAGTTCATCAGATCAGCAGCAGTTACCGACATGATACATTTTTTAAATAGTATCTGGTGCTCACCACATCTGTGCACCAGATTTTTGCCTGAAAAATACACCATGTCCCTTTAAGGGCTCCGATAGAAAAGGAACCATTTTCAAATTCTTTTTCAACGAGGCAGAAGTTGTCTTTGTGTTTGTCAGCCTCTTATTCAACTTCTCTGTTCTACATTTAATGATGTCCATTCCGGTTTTAGTGATTCTGGCCAAGAATGTAACTGCAGCACCATTTAAAGTGGAACAGAAATTTTGAATGATAAGCTGGTAAGTAAGCTGCTGATTTCAGCTTCATCCTCTTTTCCACAACGTTCTGCTGAAAATATTATTTGTTTTTGATTTTCTTATTTTGTTCATTGTACTGTTTCTCATAATTACTGGAATACTAATCATGAAAACAATGTAAAGTGGGGTGCAGAGCAGTGCAGGACGTATCAGCAATGTTTTCTTGAGCAGTTTTTGTGCTCATAGCGGCTGTTCCGCAGCATTGGCATTGTTTAAAGGAACAATATGAAATATTTACTGAAATAAATCATAAAATGATCATGATTCATCATCAGAGATTAAGGAAACTGACTTCTCCAACAACAGAGTTACAGCCAGTATGTTCTCCCTTGAAATTTCATTTCTAGAGCGGGAAGTCTGTTTATGTTTTAGCCTGTGATCCTGCCCACTGCCCATTTCCCAGCACCATTTCAGCACCCCAGGTTGCCAGATATGAAACAAATTGAAATGTAAAAGTTAAAAATTAAAATTAACATTATTATCAATATGCAATGTATTACTTAAATTAAGCATTTGCTTCTAATTTTTCAGTAAAAATATTGCTGGTTGTAATTTTTGTATTTACTAGCCATTTTTTTGAGGTTCACAATGGACCGAAACATTTCTGTTTTGTGTTTTTGCTTTTGTGCATTAATATTTTTTCTACTTTGAAATTGTTTATAATTGTGATGCACAATAAACAATCTGACTACATTCTAATTGTTTATGCTTTTCATTTGTAAGAGATTCTGCTCTGGTGAAAATGGATGCATTCAAAACAAAGCATTATGATTATAATATGGCCACATAAGATCATAGTGGAACCAGTTAGAAGTGTACGTATAAACTACATAGGTTACTACCATAGGTGTGTTTAGAAACCCACCTCTAGACAGATAGGGCCTATGTTTAACATATTATAGGATAAAATCCTATAATCCTATAATGTATTTTACAAAAGGCACATTGAATGATTTAACACGTACTTCAGGAAAATTTTTAAATCTCTGATTTAAAATAAAATGTCTGAAAAATTATATTCTAAACCCACTTGAACAGTGCTTCAAGGAAGATGTCAGATTTAGCCTTTTCAGCAGCACCTCTTCTTCATTCAAGACTTTTTTTGTTCGCCATGGTTTAAAATTAATGCAGAAATATTGTGAAAAATTAAAAATATATTTATGAGTGTGGAAAATATTTACAAGTACTTTTTGACTCAAGGCAGATGGTCTGTGGAATGTCCAGCTGTGCATGTCCTTTAAGGCGTAAACACAACGTAAACACATCATTCATGTTATGTTTTATTCATGTTGGCAAAAAAAATGAGTTTTAATTCTGAAATGGCTTTTAACACGTATTAATTACAAAGAAAAAATATTACTAATATTTTGCTTTTTCTGCAGTAAATGACTTTGGCATCCTGAGGGCCACATTTGGGCCGTGGACTAAGGTGGGTACTCAACCATAACTGTGTGCCTGTGTTAGCTCGGTTTGGTGCCTTTAGCGCATTAAAAGGACTAGGTTAACATTATCCATGACAAATTTTTAGTTAAGGGTAATGTATGTAAAGATAAGTATACAGAGTAAACTTGTACAGTAACTGTTGGTGCAAATACGAATAGTGCAAGAATACTAGGACATAAAGTACAATAACAGTGCAGTGAGTGCAAAGATGCAGTTAAAGTGGTGATGTGGAGTTCAGCAGAGTCACAGCCTCAGGGAAGAAGCTCTTCCTGAGCCTGCTGGTACGGGAGAGGAGGCTTCTGTATCAGATGGGAAGAGGGTAAAAAGTCCATGGTTAGGATCAGGAACGTCCTTGATGATGTTCTTCGCCCTGCCCAGGCCGCACTTATGGTAAATCTTTAAACACAGCTGCTGGCTTTCCATTTAAAAGTGATGAACTTGGGCGGGAAAATTTGTTAAACTAGGGTTTTAACCATTAAACAGTGAGCATCAGCTGTTTTCTGTACTTTCAGTAATGGGCCACTGAAAAGGACTTTTGGCCAAAGTGTGGCATGATAGTGCAGTGTGGCCCAGAACTGTCTGCTGTCTGGGATGTTATGTCAGCAGTTTGAAAAAAAAAAATCAAAACTAACGTTACCTTTTCTTTAGAATTTGTGTTACTGTACATTTTACAAATACAATACTGTAACACTATAATAACACTATAAAAAAAATAAGATGGTTGAATTAGTGCCTGCACTGACTAACACAGCTTAGCTAACTAGCTGGCTGGCTCCACACACCACAATACAGGTTAGCTTTATATTCCAGCTAACTGATGTTTCTTACAGTGGTCACTCAAGTTCACATCTCTCCTTTCTCTTCACTTGTTAGAATTGTTCAGTTGAAATTAGACCTGATGTAGCAACTCAGGAAGATGGTGGTTACTAAGCAATTTAAGGAGAAGTGAACCAGAAATAGTCAGAAATTATTAGAAATCATTCAGGTGCTGAATATAGAGCATAGGATTCAGAGTAAATCAGATTAGACTACAAGATGAGGCAGTTACACTCAGAGGGAGGTGGGACTGTGACTGAAATCAGCTCCACATGTTGAATTTTGTAGCCCATTTTCAGTTCCAACCAATAGAAACCAACAGATTATCTGCTGATTATTATTAATCTTATAACATTCTGTTCATTTGATTTACTGCCGTCTTCTTATTAATGTTATTTGATAAGGCGCTGCTGTTGCAAAACTAAATCTGGCCTACACTTTACATCAATTCCTGATTGCAGCTTTAGATTCAGTGTTTGATTCATATAGTTTTTGACTGATTTGGACATTTAATCCATGCAGAAAAAAAACGATGTGTAAACAGATGTTGATGTACTCATTCATTTGAACATTAGAGGGTGGGTAATGTAGATGGTGAGAGGATCAGTGCGGTTTTGGTTTTAACGCTTTGGCGCCACCTGGTGGACCATAATGATAAACACACAGTTGATCAGCTCAGCAGCGCCCATCAAAAATATAACCACAATGATATTTTATAACAAGAGAAAACACTGCATTATTATCAATGTACAATATATCAATCAGTTTTCTATAAAGAGAAGACGCTGTTTGAAATCTATACTGCGAGTGTGTGAGCTTAAAGGTTTAAATAATCTCAAGAGAAACCTCGTCACTGACACACAATTTCACAGGTTTCTGCAGAACTACAAGGTGTAGAATATTCACTGTTCAGTTTTATTGAACATCAATCAACAGTGTAATATTTCTGTTGTTTTCTATGCTGTGCTGTTTATTAGGTTAATTACAGTAAAAGTGAATTAAATCACTTTTAAGATTTCTTATTTTTAAAAATGCATTAAAATTACAGACAAGTATTTTTCAGTTCCCAGAAATCATTAGGCCTCCTCGGAAAGCCTAGAAGGCCCTGAGGTTTCCCCACAGGTAAATTAGTACTTGAGTCTCTGTGGTGGTTAGGAAAAAATGTGTTAATGTGTTATTTTCAGATATCAGCAAAAATAAAAAAGTACTTCTATTTTGGTTTCACTGATGTTTTGCTTAAGCCAGATAAAACATCAAAGCAATGTTTTCTTTCATGAAGACACAACTTTATTATAAACGTAATTTAACTGCATTAAAAAGGATCAACAGTTAGTTTACAATAAATGAATGCAAAACATACAAGAATGAGAATATTAAAACATATGGCCACACTGCATTGTGTCACCATTAGATTATGAATATTTATTTTGGTTAGTCATAAGGAAAAGATAAAGGACCAAAATATAAAACTAAACAAGCAGATTAGAATACATTAAGCATCAAAACCCATGAAAATGGAAAAATATAATAATACCAAAAACAAAACCAAAGAAAATATAAAATCAATTCAAATCCACCACACAGTATGAAAATAATTACACTATTTTACCTCATTATTTTATGGTGATATATTCAAAATATGTTTAATGTTTATATCAACACTTAGCTTTAAATGGAAAATGGACAAGACTTTTATATTGTAGAGTAAAGGTATAAAAAAAAGGGATGAAGGACCATAAAACCTTAACCCTATGCACAAGACATTTTTTCTTCTTCTAATTATTCTTATAAAACTAATTCTGACAGTCTAAATGTATTCAGGCCCTTTTCTGTCTTCACTCCTTAAAACCCAAACCAGGAGTTCCTGTAGAAGCAAATCTTGTTTTAATTTACGGATTATATCTAATCTGAGAGAGTCTCATCTCTGTTAGCGACCGAAAATACATGCACAGCCAGAGCAACACCTAATCAAAACTATTAAAAAGCTACTTTATTTTTTTAAGTTTTCTAAGTTTTTTTTTACACTGCTACCAATGTAAAAAAATAACAAAACAAAACTAAAGTGTGATAAACTGTAAATAAAATACCATGAAAGCGCCCCCTGCAGTTTCCATTACTCAAAGCTGTAGCCTTTAGAACTTTATTCCTCTAAATAAACAGCCACACATTCAACTCACCTCATTATTCAGCACTGTCACTGCAGTATTTTATTTGATGACATTTTATGAACATTAACTAAGAAGGATAAAGTTAGGACAGTATTTAGGAAATTCTGTCTATTTAAGACAATTGTGTAATAGTCTTTTCTTATCAGTCTCTAATCATTGCAACTACAATATACAAACTTATATATATAGCACTCAAGATGCTCCAGCTTCCATCACTGCTTATGTTCTGTTCTCTTCATCAGCTTTAGCTGTGAAAAACATATTGATTAACTTTTCACATCAGTCTTTCATCAGATTTTATATAGTAGTAAAAAAAAACGCTACTAACACTTTGAAGAAATACACAGGGAAACTGAGTTTTTACCTCGAGCTCTGTAGCATTTGACCCACAGCACAATGGACACCAGCAAATACGGAGCCACTGCCATTAAACTACTGAGCAGACTGAGCACTGAGACTGGAGCTCCTGAACTGGACAAACCTGATACACACAATAAAATCACTGTAATGTAGAATAGAAACTACTGTTGAACACATTCTCATTAAAATAAGTGTTATGATTTTTAGAGATTTTCTGTTGAAAACCGCAGACCTCTGACTGAGAGCCAGCTCTTTGGTGACTCTCCTTTCTCTGGGTGTTTACAGTGGTAGAGACCTTCATCTGACTTTGAGACAGTACGGATGATCATCTCTCCTGTAGTCTGGGTCTGGAGCAGTGATCCATCTTTATAGAAATCAGCTGTGAGGTTTGAGGGCTTTGTGGAGCGACATAAACAGCGGAGAGTCAGAGAATCTCCCTCAGTCACAGGATGGACAGGACTGTCCAGAATCACATCACCATCTGTAGGAGAGAGTAATGAGTGAAGTAACACCGTCTTAAGTTTACATTTGAACTAGAAATTGTACTTTAAAGTACGAGATCAGTTTTTTAGTTAAAGGTTGGTAAATTTACTAAGAATCAAAAGGAAACACTAAACTACTGTTTTGAAAAGAAACAATAAAAATAAACAACTCTGATGGGACACAATGTAACTAATTAGGTATTTAATCAAAGAGTTCATTAATAAATACATTCATATAGACCCATCACTCAGGTAATGACAACACACAAGATTATTTATACAAGTTTTAATGATTTAGTGCCTTTCTTGGCCCGACAATTGCTTTAAAATGTAAACAAAAAAGCAGCTAACAGGTAAAATATAATACAGACACACAAAAGTAAAACATTTTAAAAATAAAATAAAAACAGTTTGAGAGCTGTGGCACTGAATGATGTATAATACACAAATAAAAATGCTCCTAAATCACTTCAGTTACTGCATATTAAAGTAGTAATGAGCAGCCAGTTCATAATCAGCTATAGGTTTGTTAAGATGTAAAAAGAGCTTTATAACATCCTCCTATACTGAAGTGTTAATCTAGTATGGAAGTATTTACAGTTTTAACAATTAATTCATTTAATAGCTTTTCTAATAATTCTGTATTGGACGCCTATTATTGTTAAGAATAATGGAGACTCACTGTGCACTGTGATGTTAAGAGGATCACTTCCTCCTCCAGATTCAGACTGACACCAGTAAACTCCAGTGAGGGATGTGTAGAGGGAGCTGATGTTGCATGTAGATCCTGTAACTGATGAACAATCTGACACCTCCCCACTGTGTGTGTATCGTCTCACTCTCCATCCAGTAGAGTCACTCTGTCCCTCACAGCTCAGTGAGAGAGAGCCAGCACTAAAATGTTGAGTTCTGCTGGGACTGATGATCAGAGAGGCTGGAGGAGATGAACCTGAACATGCACACAAGATACACATGTAGCATGTTGATAAATACTAATGCTAAACAAATATACTGTTCACTAAAAGAATGGTTTTGATGAATACGACATATATATAAACAAAATGATTAATATCTGTATCTCCTCACCAGTGATCCATAGTGTCTGTGGAGTGCTGTACTGTGTCTGATAGGCTGGTTCTCCTCTCTCTGCTCTGCACACATAAACTCCTGTGTGATTTAGAGCAGCAGGACTGAGAGTGTAGGAGCCTCCAGCTTCTCTTCTGCTGTCTGACAGGAGCTCTACATGATACAGAACATTGCCATGAACGTCTCTTATTTGTTGTAAGCCTTGTCTGTAGAGAACAGCTCTGTACCAGCTGAATGTCCAGCCTGTAGAGGAGCCTGTAACCTCACAGCTTAGAGTCACTGAGTCTCCTTCAGTCAGCCAGCTCTGTGGAGACACACTCAATACTGCCTGAGCTACATCTGACAGAGAGAACATGGAGAATATAATAGACTAAATCAAGTTTATACACAGTGATAAGATCATTACATACAGTATAATTAATGAGAATATTAAAACAAATCCACAGACTCACCAGACACAGTCAGTGTAACAGCATCACTGATCTCTGAGCTCTGAGAGTCATGTTTTCTTTCTCCTCTGCAGGTGTATTTACCACCGTTAGACTCTGTAACAGAGCTGATTGTGAACTCCTGTGTTCTTCTGTTTGGGGACAAACGGTCATCTTTATACCAGCTGTAAGTCCACTCAGTGTCTCCTCCTGCCTGTGTGTCACATCTCAGAGTGACCGCCTCTCCTTTAAACACCTGTTTATCAGGCTTTATGGACACCACAGCTTTAGTGCTGTCTGTAACAAAATCACAGTTCCCAACACCATTGTTAAAATGAGAGGTGAAGTTTTGAGATTAAATGATGAATTTTGCTCATTATTTAATACACAGTACTGCGCAGTAAAGTTTGCACAGATAAGTTTGATCTGTGTCTGTTCTAAGTGGATGGATAAAGTGTTTTAGTCATACTAACTCTGTGCCTAATACAAACTACAAAGAGGCAAATCTGCTGTGTGCCACTTTGACCAAATAGCCATTTTTGATACATTTTCTGGCTGTTGCTCCTATTAAAGTTCATCATGAACAGACATTGTGGGGCCATTAAAAATTCTCCTGGGGGACCATGCCCCCAGACACCAGGCTTAGCCCCCCCATCGATAAACGTCTAGTGATGCTCCTGCTGAGGGTGTTGCATGATGTATTAAAATTTGTTTGTACTCATTGTTCTCATGAAGCCTTTAACCAAAAATAATCCACCAACTCCAGATTCCCAAATCTGCACTGATCCTCCCCAAAAAGTGCAAACTTTCTGTGATTATTTCTGTGAAAAATCTGTGATTATTAGTGCAGTTTGATAGAAAACTAGTGAGAACACTGCCATTCAAACCCTGGTGCAGGTCCTCTGAGGAGGTCTGTTTCAGTTCACTTCTAAACAAACCATAAAGCAGTGTTTAAAATACGAATGTGAAACAGACCAAACACCAAACAAACCATCACCTCCTCTCTACCTTCACTGGTACATGCAACAGATGACTTTCTGATGCTGTTTTGATACATGGACTTATTTTATCATCACTTCACAAACTCTTAAATCAGAAATTATAGAACAAATAGTTTCGTTTTTAAACTGAAGCAGAGGCTGTTTTAACCATTAAAAATACTCTGTATACACACATACACCCACACACATAAATCATAATATATATATTAATGTGTTAAGTTTTCAATGGTTTTTAAAAGCAGTAAGACACTCGTGAGCGTACATTATAGTGATGGTACTCTGCTTTGAATATTGGGAAAACTGTGGTAATGCACAGCCCCCTGTAGTAGATTTCTTTAGAACATCACAAGACATTCATAAAACCCACAAGCTCTGTTAGATCAGAGTACAACATGGTTAAGAAGGTTTGTTGGATCTTATTGCAGTTTTTTTTAACAAATGTATATCATTAAATCTTCTTTTAATTACATTTTATGGCTTGATATCAAATATGTCAGTGTAAACAGTGTGAACCAGAACTAGAACTGAACAATGTATCATTTTCTGCTTTTTTGTAATATTAATTATTTAGTCCTATCTATGCTGTTAACCCTCAGAACTACAAAATATCACTCACCAGTAACGTTTACCCAGAGTGCATCACTGTAGTGTGTGTAGTAGACTGGGTTTCCTCTGCCAGCTCTGCACCAGTACTGACCTCCATCAGAGAGACTAACTGAGCTGATGGTGTAGACGTTGGTGATGGTCTCCTTCTCAGAGTTCTGTGTGTGTTTGGACCAGTAAAACGTCCATCCAGCAGACTGAGGGAGGTTACAGTACAGAGTCACTGTGTTTCCTGTCAGTACAGCTCCGTCATGGTTTGAGGTGATTGTAGGTCTGACTTTTACTGTTGATGAAGAACAAAGTTCAGTTGAGAGAATTTAGACAATCAGCTTTATGTTATTTAGAAATGTAACTTTCACATTGGTTTAATGTTTAAGGAAACAGTACAGTTAACTCATGATGAGACACACAAGAATAAACCTCTCCAACAAGACTGCAGTCTTTCTAATGTAACAAAAATATCATCATATTTTAGAGAAGATTTAATTTATTAAGCTCATCCACACATGATACCTTCACACCTCTGTTTCAGTCATCATTACAGAGGAAACAGAGTGGAGATCAAAAGAAAAGTGGAAGCAGTAAATTAATCAGATTAATTAGACCAAGAAATGGTGGAAAGGTGTAACTGAGGAACATATAATGCCTGACAATCACTTATGTGTCCTAATATCTGGATGTTGGTGTCGTTTTTGTATCATTCCTGAAGCTGAAAAGGTTTTGGCTTAAACTCTGTGGGAGACTCACTCACAGCTCAGTGTGAAATCTATTAACAGACAGAATTATTCTGGCTCTTAGTTCAGATAATCTAGATTACTGTATTTGCTAAAAATCATTTAAATATGATGTCTGAAGGACTGTTCAGTGCTCACATTTATCATTAAAACATTGTGTGTAAAGATAAATATTAATGCACTCAAACAGGCCATTATTTGTATTGTTTCTTTAAAGTTCCCTGAAAGATCTCCTGTAGAAGTTAACTGCCGACCTACTGAAAGGTCTAGTCTGTTACAAGGCAGCCTGAGCTTAAAGTTTGATGGACGTAGAAACAAAAACAAAGGGAGATGAGACTTTTGCAGTTGGTTAATTAGTGCAGACCATGAGATCTTTTATATATGATTTTCAAAATGATCTGTAATTGTCAGGTAAAAAGCTAGAAAACTCAGGAACGTGTGGACGTTTCTGCTTATTTCCAGTGCAGAAAAATGACCAACTTGTAGGAACTTCATGGCTTTTTTATGGTTTTGACTGGAAATGAAATAATGAAGGGTGGTCTCTGACTTTGGCACAGCACTGTACATGAACTCATTAAGGCATAGTTGCAAAGCACTTCTGTACTTTAAACTCTTAATGATAGAAATAAAGTGAGAAAGACACCACACTCACCTGATACAGTCAGTGTAACAGCTTCACTGGTGTGTGTGTATATTCGGTCTGTTGACTGTGTTCCCTTACAGGTATAAACACCTGCATGAGACTGATCAACATTAGAGATTTCATATTTCTTCCTTTTAGCATCTCTGAGAAGATTATTATTCTTATACCATTCATAATTCCAGTCATCTCCACTTTCTATTTCACATGTCAGAGTGACTCTCTCTCTGATGAACACATGATCAGCTGGCTGGACTTTCACTGTAGCTTTTGGTCTCTCTGTTCAAAGATGTAAAGTTTATTTAATGATACTCCTAACCTTTATATGTTACCATATTCTGGACTTTTTTCAACCCTATTTGCAACTACCTTTTCACTGTCAGAGAGGCTCTCCTTTCAGTCAAACACTGTGGGCGTGGCCCTCAGAACGACCTTTTTAGTGCTGGTGTGTTTTAAGAGGAAATGACAAAAAATCCTAAATGTTGGCAGCACTGACGCAGAGCTAGATGCTTGTTTAGAATATGGAGGTAACAATAGCAGTTAATGCTACTGACATTTCAACATTCACCAACCAGAACAAGGATAAATCTGTCAAAAGTTATTTCCTGTTGTTTTGTGTGGAAGTGATTCTGGATTGACTAGGAGAACTTATGGCTGTCACAGGCACCAATATCAGCGACACTGTGATCAGCATCGGTCTGAGGCTCTGAGGACTGACAGAGGAACACTGGAGAAACACTGTCCTTAACATTTTAGTGCTTTCTTTAACTCACTCATTACAAACAGTCAGAGGTTGTTAACAAGCTGGAGCCACATGACCACTAAGAATGTAACTGCAACTAGAGGTGCAGATATATTTTAATTTGGCAGACCTGGAGCGCAAAAATGCTGAAATCCAATTGCAAATGGTTAATAGTTATTAACATGTCAATCTTACCGTTAAGACAATGGAAATTAAATGTCAAAAGAACTTTGCTTTTCCATATTCATATTAAAGGCATTGGACACAGAAACGTAAACAGAAATACACATTTTGCATTTAATTTATGTCTTAAATGATGCACACTCACAGGCAAAATGCAGTTAATACAGTTAATGCAGTAAATACACAATTAAATTGCATTTGCTTTTGAATTTGAAAAAAGAGTGGAATTTTCTAACACATTCAACTTTTAATGATAGAAATAAAGTGAGAAAGTCCCCACACTCACCTGATACAGTCAGTGTAACAGCTTCACTGGTGTGTGTGTATATTCGGCCTGTTGACTGTGTTCCCTTACAGGTATAAACACCTGCATGAGTCTGATCAACATTAGAGAGTTCATATTTCTTCCTTTGAGCATCTCTGAGAAGATTATTATTCTTATACCATTCATAATTCCAGTCATCTCCACTTTCTATTTCACATGTCAGAGTGACTCTCTCTCTGATGAACACATGATCAGCTGGCTGGACTTTCACTGTAGGTTTTGGTCTCTCTGTTTAAAAAAGATAAATATGTTGGAATATAATCTCTCTGACAGTATTCAAAAACATTCACTCTGTTAGTGAAAGGACAGAATTTAATTCCAGATGTATTTCCAAATCGATCACTACTACTGTGGGCAAACTCTAAGAAGCGATTTACACAAAAGCCAACTATTGTCTTCACCTGATGTTATCAGTATTATGAGAAGAGCTACATGAACTCATTGAGATTTAAGATACTGTGAGCTGGATGTACTGAGTCTTTTGTGTTGAATTCAGAAGTAATAAGGATTTATTCTGCCTGCATGTTATTTATTAAACTGGTAAATTGTGCATACTTTGCACAATGCAAGATTTACAGGTATGACTGTGTGTGTGTGTGTGTGTGTGTGTGTGTGTGTGTGTATGAGTGACTGATTATTTTATTTTATTTTATTTACTACATGTAGATGTTTGTCTGATACTGTGCACTGTGAGCTCCTGTAACCAAAACCAGATTCCTTGTATGTATAAGCATACCTGGCCAATAAAGCTTAATTCTGAATCTGAATCAAATAAGCAGTTTCTGGGAAGCACATATCTGAAAACACAGGATGTGCTTCTCTCCATCATGCATATGCACTTGAGGGAGAATTTGGCAAAACGTTGAAAAATTATGTAAAACTGGAAGTATAACTGATTACAATTTTTTTGGGAAAATTGTGGAAATAATGATGTTTGTACATGTGAACTTCAGTGATTTAGAGATGTAGAAAAAATACTGGCTTGTAGTCTTGGTGGTCATTTTGACAGGAAATGAAGTAAATGAGTGGTCTCTGAAGAGTTTTGCACAGTGCTATACATGAATTAATGGAGACTTTTCATATTATGTGTTTTTTAAAGATATATTTTCCAATGTGTATAAGACAGGAAGATGCTTTTATAGTCATAAAGAACCTGTACACTTCAAACTCTCAATGGTAGAAATAAAGTGAGAAAGACGCCACACTCACCTGATACAGTCAGTGTAACAGCTTCACTGGTGTGTGTGTATAGTCGGCCTGTTGACTGTGTTCCCTTACAGGTATAAACTCCTGCATGAGACTGATCAACATTAGAGATTTCATATTTCTTCCTTTGAGCATCTTTGAGAAGATTATTATTCTTATACCATTCATAATTCCAGTAATCTCCACTTTCTATTTCACATGTCAGAGTGACTCTTTCTCTGATGAACACATGATCAGCTGACTGGACTTTCACTGTAGCTTTTGGTCTCTCTGTTCAAAGATGATAAATACTTTTGAACCTTATACACTCTCTCTGAACATGCATGACAGAATTCAACAACATTCACTCTCTATTAGTTTTAAGACAGAATTTTAGAACTTCTAGAAGTGTTTTTTAGTTGATGACAATGACTGTGGATAAAGTCTAACAAACTTTTTACACAAAAACCAACTATTACCATCAGCTGGTTGTCAGTGTTTAGGAGATGAGCTACATTATCTCACTGAGATTTAAGATACTGTGGGCTGTATTTAGTGTGTCTTTTGTGCTGAATTCAGAAGTAATTAGGATTCATTCTGCCTGTGTGTTATTCATTAAACTGGTGAATGAGATCAAACAAGCAGTTTCTGTGAAGCGCACATCTGAAAACACAGGATGTGTTTCTCTCCATCATGCATATGCACTTGAGGGAGAATACGGCAAAACGTAGGAAGATTGTGTAAACAAAGGAAGTGCAACTGATGACAAGATATATTTTTGGAAAACAGTGGAAATAACTGTTTGCACGAGTGAGCAACAGTGATTTGAAGATGTAGAAAAATGATTGGTTTGTAGGCCTTCCTCATGGCCATTTTGACTGGATATTAAATCAATGAGGGGTCTCTGATGACTTGTACAGTGCTGTACCTGAACGCATGGAGACTTCTGATATTCTGTGGTTTTTAAAGAGAAACTATCTGATGTGTTTAAGACAGGATGATGCTTTTATAGTAGTAATGAACATCTACACTTTTAACTCTTAATGACAGAAATAAAGTGAGAAAGACGCCACACTCACCTGATACAGTCAGTGTAACAGCTTCACTGGTGTGTGTGTATATTCGGCCTGTTGACTGTGTTCCCTTACAGGTATAAACACCTGCATGAGACTGATCAACATTAGAGATTTCATATTTCTTCCTTTTAGCATCTTTGAGAAGATTATTATTCTTATACCATTCATAATTCCAGTCATCTCCACTTTCTCTTTCACATGTCAGAGTGACTCTCTCTCTGATGAACACATGATCAGCTGGCTGGACTTTCACTGTAGCTTTTGGTCTCTCTGTTCAAAGATGTAAGTTTATTTAATGATACTCCTAACCTTTATATGTTACCATATTCTGGACTTTTTTCAACCCTATTTGCAACTACCTTTTCACTGTCAGAGAGGCTCTCCTTTCAGTCAAACACTGTGGGCGTGGCCCTCAGAACGACCTTTTTAGTGCTGGTGTGTTTTAAGAGGAAATGACAAAAAATCCTAAATGTTGGCAGCACTGACACAGAGCTAGATGCTTGTTTAGAATATGGAGGTAACAATAGCAGTTAATGCTACTGACATTTCAACATTCACCAACCAGAACAAGGATAAATCTGTCAAAAGTTATTTCCTGTTGTTTTGTGTGGAAGTGATTCTGGATTGACTAGGAGAACTTATGGCTGTCACAGGCACCAATATCAGCGACACTGTGATCAGCATCGGTCTGAGGCTCTGAGGACTGACAGAGGAACACTGGAGAAACACTGTCCTTAACATTTTAGTGCTTTCTTTAACTCACTCATTACAAACAGTCAGAGGTTGTTAACAAGCTGGAGCCACATGACCACTAAGAATGTAACTGCAACTAGAGGTGCAGATATATTTTAATTTGGCAGACCTGGAGCGCAAAAATGCTGAAATCCAATTGCAAATGGTTAATAGTTATTAACATGTCAATCTTACCGTTAAGACAATGGAAATTAAACGTCAAAAGACTTTGCTTTTCCATATTCATATTAAAGGCATTGGACACAGAAACGTAAACAGAAATACACATTTTGCATTTAATTTATGTCTTAAATGATGCACACTCACAGGCAAAATGCAGTTAATACAGTTAATGCAGTAAATACACAATTAAATTGCATTTGCTTTTGAATTTGAAAAAAAGAGTGGAATTTTCTAACACATTCAACTTTTAATGATAGAAATAAAGTGAGAAAGTCCCCACACTCACCTGATACAGTCAGTGTAACAGCTTCACTGGTGTGTGTGTATATTCGGCCTGTTGACTGTGTTCCCTTACAGGTATAAACACCTGCATGAGTCTGATCAACATTAGAGATTTCATATTTCTTCCTTTGAGCATCTCTGAGAAGATTATTATTCTTATACCATTCATAATTCCAGTAATCTCCACTTTCTATTTCACATGTCAGAGTGACTCTCTCTCTGATGAACACATGATCAGCTGGCTGGACTTTCACTGTAGCTTTTGGTCTCTCTGTTTAAAAAAGATAAATATGTTGGAATATAATCTCTCTGACAGTATTCAAAAACATTCACTTTCTGTTAGTTAAAGGACAGAATTTAATGTATTTCCAAATCGATCACTACTACTGTGGGCAAACTCCAAGAAGCCATTTACACAAAAGCCAACTATTGTCTTCACCTGATGTTATCAGTATTATTGAGAGGAGCTACATGAACTCATTGAGATTTAAGATACTGTGAGCTGGATGTACTGAGTCTTTTGTGCTGAATTCAGAAGTAATAAGGATTCATTCTGCCTGCATGTTATTTATTAAACTGGTAAATTGTGCATACTTTGCACAATGCAAGATTTACAGGTATGACTGTGTGTGTGTGTGTGTGTGTGTGTGTGTGTATGAGTGACTGATTATTTTATTTTATTTACTACATGTAGATGTTTGTCTGATACTGTGCACTGTGAGCTCCTGTAACCAAAACCAGATTCCTTGTATGTATAAGCATACCTGGCCAATAAAGCTTAATTCTGAATCTGAATCAAATAAGCAGTTTCTGGGAAGCACATATCTGAAAACACAGGATGTGCTTCTCTCCGTCATGCATATGCACTTGAGGGAGAATTTGGCAAAACGTTGAAAATTATGTAAAACTGGAAGTATAACTGATTACAATTTTTTGGGAAAATTGTGGAAATAATGATGTTTGTACATGTGAACTTCAGTGATTTAGAGATGTAGAAAAATACTGGATTGTAGGCCATCTTGGTTGTCATTTTGACAGGAAATGCAGTAAATGAGTGGTCTCTGAAGAGTTTTGCACAGTGCTATACATGAATTAATGGAGACTTTTCATATTATGTGTTTTTTAAAGATAAATTTTCCAATGTGTATAAGACAGGAGATGCTTTTATAGTCATAAAGAACCTGTACACTTCAAACTCTCAATGGTAGAAATAAAGTGAGAAAGACGCCACACTCACCTGATACAGTCAGTGTAACAGCTTCACTGGTGTGTGTGTATAGTCGGCCTGTTGACTGTGTTCCCTTACAGGTATAAACTCCTGCATGCGACTGATCAACATTAGAGATTTCATATTTCTTCCTTTGAGCATCTTTGAGAAGATTATTATTCTTATACCATTCATAATTCCAGTAATCTCCACTTTCTATTTCACATGTCAGAGTGACTCTTTCTCTGATGAACACATGATCAGCTGGCTGGACTTTCACTGTAGCTTTTGGTCTCTCTGTTCAAAGATGATAAATACTTTTAAAACTTATACACTCTCTCTGAACATGCATGACAGTATTCAACAACATTCACTCTCTATTAGTTTATAGACAGAATTTTAGAACTTCTAGAAGTGTTTTTTAGTTGATGACAATGACTGTGGATAAAGTCTAACAAACTTTTTACACAAAAACCAACTATTACCATCAGCTGGTTGTCAGTGTTTAGGAGATGAGCTACATTATCTCACTGAGATTTAAGATACTGTGGGCTGTATTTAGTGTGTCTTTTGTTGCTGAATTCAGAAGTAAGTAGGTTTCATTCTGCCTGTTTGTTACTCATTAAACTGGTGAACGAGATCAAACAAGCAGTTTCTGTGAAGCGCACATGTGAAAACACAGGATGTGTTTCTCTCCATCATGCATATGTACTTGAGGGAGAATACGGCAAAACGTAGGAAGGATGTGTAAAACTGGAAGTACAACTGATCACAAGATTTTTTTTGGAAAACGGTGGAAATAACTGTTTTGCACGAGTGAGCAACAGTGATTTGAAGATGTAGAAAAATGATTGGTTTGTAGGCCTTCCTCATGGCCATTTTGACTGGATATTAAATCAATGAGGGGTCTCTGATGACTTGTACAGTGCTGTACCTGAACACATGGAGACTTCTGATATTCTGTGGTTTTTAAAGAGAAACTTTCTGATGTGTTTAAGACAGGATGATGTTTTTACAGTCATAATGAACATCTACACTTTTAACTCTCAATGACAGAAATAAAGTGAGAAAGACGCCACACTAACCTGATACAGTGAGTGTAACAGCTTCACTGGTG